TGAGTCAGCAGGAGAAAAACAAACAAGCAAACTCCCTGCAATCGAAGGAACACCACAACCACAGAGAAAATAAGGAGCTGCCAAACTTTTATTTCCAACTAGCTTATATCTCATTGTTCTTTCTTAAAATAAAGAACGAAAAGTAAATTAAATTATTCTGAAGATTACACAAGCAATGCATATGAGGAAGTTTAAAACAAAAATGTAAAAGGACAGTTGAAGGCCAGACAAGGAATAATGGATGGAAACTGAACAAGGAGAAATTCAACCTGGAAATAAGGAAGAATTTTCTTACAGTGAGAAAAATCAACCCATGGAACAGAAGTTGCCTTCAGAAGTTGTGGGAGCTTCATCACTGGAAGCTTTCAAGAAGAGACTGGACTGCCATCTATCAGAAATGGTATAGGGTCTCCTGCTTGGGCGGTGGGTTGGACTAGATGACCTACAAGGTCCCTTCCAACTCTGTTAATCTGTTAATCCATCTGGTGGGGATGCTGTCTATCCCATATCGAAGTGTGTTGTGATATATATATTTGGATAGCCAGCTTGATCAGGAGATGCCTTTAGGTACTGGAAGCACTGGAGGAGGCATCCAAAATGACAGGAAACAGCTTAATCGGGTCATTTAAGGTTCCCCCTTAAAGAGGCCAACAACAATCAGTGATGGAAATCACACAAAAGCAGAAAAGTTAAGTGAGAAGTATGTCAAAAGAAGCTGGAAAAACTGATGGGTGACTCGGTTAACTTGCTTCCGACCAACTTTTTGCAAAATAACAAATAACATTGTGCCAAAAAAAAAAATCTGCAGATTTATTTATTTATTGAATTTATATTGCCACCTATTTGCCCATGGTGACTCGAGGTGGCTTACACCGTTTTTTTTTTTAAGTGTCCTGAAAAGGTTTAAATAAATAGATTATGAAAAAGTAGACTCTTCTCTGGTTTGCAAATTGCTCTGCAAAATTCAAGAGAATTGGGGATTTGATTGCAAGGATGTGTTCTGATTCTCCTGTAAGATGGAAATATGGTCCATTCCTATTAAATGAATGGACCATTCCTTCATTTAATAGAATGAATTTCTGGCCTTGATTTATCTATCTATTTATCTATTATTTATAACAACTCCAGAACACGATGCTAGCAATGAGATAAAAACAAAGTGCAAACCTTCAGAAAGTAAAGTATGGTAAGAGGAAATGAAAGGAAAGATAAATAATTGTATGGGAAATTGGGTCAATAAACTAGGGTTTGATGGTTAAGGGTGGGTTTTGTTTTTGGGTTTTTTGCATTTTCTCTTTAGAAAGGAGCTCTGAGGTGGTAAAATCAAATTACAGTAAATGTACCCTGGTGTGCATATTATTTCCGGAAGTAAAAAGGAGTACATACTAAAAAAAACACATTAACCCATGTGGAGGGAGGAAACTTTTAGAGAAATATTTACAGCCAGAAACAAGGAAAATTGGAAGTAGATTAAACAGCAGATATTTAATCAAAAGTATACATCCTTTCATTTCTCTTTCATCTGTTTTTCTATTTTTATCAACCTGACCAGTTCACTTTGTTGAACTTGTGAATATACTTTGCGAATTTTTAGGCAAACTTTGTCGTAACATACGTATTTTCCACTGTTAAATATGTTGGAAAATGTTAGAAAATGCAAATTTTGGAAAAAGAGCTAGGTTTTTATTTCATGCCTGAGGTTGAGCAATGCAAAATCCTTTTGTACTGAAACATGATAGAAAATAGTGCCTCTTCCTTCTTATCAAAATAAGAAGGAAACAATGTAGATGGGGAAGAGCAGATATTTGGTTCGTTTTGCAATTTGATGGGCAATAATACTGAACACACAGACTAACAAGATTGGAAGGGACCTTGGAGGTCTTCTAGTCCAACCCCCTGCTCAAGCAGGAGATGCTATACCATTCCAGACAAATGGTTGTCCAGGCTCTTCTTAAAAGCCTCCAGTGATGGAGTACCCACAACTTCTGAAGGCAAGCCATTCCACTCGTTGATTGTCCTCACTGTCAGATAATTTCTCCTTAGTTCTAGATTGGATCTCTTTGAAAAGTTTCCACCCACTGATTCTTTTCCTGCCCTCTGGTGCATTGGACAATAATTTGACCCCCACTTCCTTGGGGCAAGATTATTTGTGGTCAGGATTTCTTTTTAAAAAATTTTTTTTTATTAATTTTCAATAAACAAACATACACAAACAAAACACAAAACATAAAAACATAAAACATCTTTTTGGAAAGCAGCTTAGTCCCGGGTTACATCTTTTTGTACAGACATAAATTCAAATTCATGCTCACTTTTACATACCATTTCATATCTTATTTACCATTCTACATTTTCTATCTAGTTTCTCCCCTCTTTTCACTCTTTTAATTCTGTTTTATTTATTTCATCTCAATTTAAATCATTATACTTATATCCTTTGTCTGTTCTGTTTCAGCTGTCAATTATCTTTTCTCATTAACACAAAATTTCTCCTGTAATCACTGATTGAAGTATGACGCCTTTATATCTTTCCCCTAAATTTAACACTTAAAATAATACATAATTTTCATTCGGATTCTGCTTAGTATATTCTACGTACTAAGCTATGTACTATATTTTAAAATAAGAAAAATAAGAAAAAAGAAAAATAAGAAAAAATTATAAGTTTATGATATAATTAAAACAATAATCCATAGCAATTAAACTCTATCATTAAAATTAATATTCATTTAAGTCTTAAACATTTTACACATTCCTTTTCAAATAAGTATCATGCTTCTATGGGAACACTTATAAATTTTGCTTAAATATTTCCTCCCCATTTCAGTTATATTTTAAGGTATTATGAGATTAAAATGTTCCCATTACTTCTTAATGCAATTGTCTCATATTTCATTTCATTTATTTTGTTCAAAAAAAGAGAAAATTTCATTAAATTACATTAAATGTTTTGTCCCATTTTATAATCATATATTATTCCAATTTACTAACCTTTATTTCAAATACAAATACAACAATACAGTCTTATGTACTTTTGCAGAATCTCTTTTTTAATTATATTGTTACCCATTATCTCTAAATAAATCCTGTTTCTTTACATCTTGTTTCAAACCTTTGTGGCTTCTCTTCCTTTTTTTCCTTCCTAGCTTCTCCAGTCGTACCTTTTTACCCCCTTGTCTCTTAATCTCCACTCTCTTTATTCCTTTTTTTGCTTTCTTCTGTATTCCTCTTCTGCTTTCTGACATTGTATCGACTTTTCACCTTATTTTTCCCTTTTTTGGTTGTTTTTTTAAGTCTTAAATTCTCCATTCTCTTTCCCCCTTCCCCTTTTCTTCCCCAGCTAGAGTTGCTTGTTCATTAAAGATTTCTTCTTCATCCCAATTCTCTTGTTCTTGTAGTTTCTCATAAGTAGAAATCGCCATTTTTAAGAAATGAAAAGAGCCCTTCCCTTCTTCTTTATACTTTTTAAATTCCATTTTCAGTTCATCAACAAGTAATGCCATTGTAGAAGATTTTTTAAACAACCCAAATGTTTTTAATCTTTCAAATAATAATTTCCAAAAGTCTCAAAGTCACCAAGCAATCCAAATACACACAGACTGTTTCATTTAACACTTTCTTCTTTTTACACTTTCTCTTCCTGGGGTTACAATTCAGTTGCAAAGTTCCAATTAAAATGTATCTTTTAGAAGTCTTGTTACAATTTAGCTCTAATCTTGTAGATTCCAAGCAGCCTCCTCCAGCAAAATCTTAATCTTAATTCTTTTCCTCTCCCTTCCCACTTACAGCAAAAAAATATTTTTTTTTCAATGTTCAGAAATCTTTATTGTCCCCTTGGCTTTAATTTTTCAGTTTAATTACCTGCTGATGCCAAAGTGGGTTTTTCCAATTTCCATTCCTCTGCTGTCACCGTAAGGAAGGAGAGTGAGGAAAAAAAAAATCTTTCGCTTTTCACTTTCATTCGCTGCTTCCAGATCTTCTTTGGGAACAATGTATCTTTAATAAATTTTAAATTCCAGGGTGTTTTAAATGTAGCTTGTTATCCCGGTCAGCCAAAACTTTCACTTCTCAGCTGCATCCTCCACAATCTTTCCCAGATGAGAGCTTCTTTGTGGCGGCTGTTTCTGACCACCGCTCCACCGCTTTTGGAAAAGGGAGTTAAGCCAGCTGAGAAAGGGGGTTGCGATTCCCCCCAACCCTTGCCAGATCTCCCCTATCTTCAGTTACCTCTAGGGGGAAACTATAGCCCTGAAGCCGGTTGGATCGGGGCACTCCAGCGGCAAGCGCAAGCAGAAATCGCGCACGATCGCAGATTCCTGCCGCCGCAGCAGCTCTGCAAACCGGAAGTCTGTGGTCAGGATTTCTTAAGCCCATTTTTTTTGCAGGAGGACCAATTTAGGAGAAATTTTAAGGAGAAAATTTAAATTTCCTGACAGTGAGCATAATCAACCCATGGAACAGAAGTTGCCTTCAGAAGTTGTGAGAGCTTCATCACTGGAAGCTTTCAAGAAGAGACTGGACTGCCATCTGTCAGAAATGGTGTGGTTCCGGCTTGTGCATGGGGTTGGACTAGATGACCTACAAAGTCCCTTCCAACTCTGTTAATCTGTATAATCTCTTTTCTAGAGAAGAAGGAGGTTCTTACCACCTTGGATAATCTGATAACCCAATTTATGCAGAGCAGTCTTCACCATTTTTTTTTTTTGTTTCTACCTATAACTTTTTCTTCCAGTCTTGTAAATTGGGTGTCCACATAAATTTTTGTCAATAATAATAATAATAATAGAGAATAGCCAGAAAAGGGAACCTCAAACAGGAAAAGATAAAGTGAAAAGTAGAAGAAAAAAAGGAACTAGAGTCAGAGAGGGGGAGTGGCAAGATAGACTGTGAAAGGGTGGGGTTGCTCATTCAGAACTGGCTGGACTTCTCAAAGCAGCTTCTTCTGATCTTAGGCGAGTTTTGAGAATAAACCCCCATTGGCCAAGTTCTCTCCTCAACTGGACCCGATGGTACAGCTGAAGTCCACAGCAGGCAGAAAATCTCCACCGCATGAGACAACATGAGCCTCCAGCTACTTAGAATTGTTCTCTTCTTGTCTTTCTTCTTTATAGGTAAGTTTTCTTCTCGACGCTGCTCAAGATCTAACATGGCTCTAGTAACTATTACAGGGAAGGAAAATGGCAAATCATATTTCTAGGCCGTGCTGTTTCAACTCGGAGAAGGGGACAGTGACTTGACGAATGCTCTATCCATTAAAGCAGGGGTCTCCAACCTTGGCAACTTTCAGCCTGGAGGACTTCAACTCCCAGAATTCCCCAGCCAGCTTTGCTGGAGAATTCTACTGGCCAGGGAATTCTGGGAGTTGAAATCCTCCAGGCTGAAAGTTGCCAAGGTTGGGGACCCCTGCATTAAAGGATAGGAACAGGATACGAAAAAATAATTTTAAAAGTAAGGCAGGATGTAATCTTGAGGAGGGCTCTCCAATCTTGGGAACTTTAAGACTTGTGGATTTCAGCTGCCAGAATTCCTTCAGCAGGGGCCTCCAACTTTGGGAACTTTGAGCAGGGGTCTCCAACCTTGGACACTTGAAGACTTCTGGACTTCAACACCCAGAACTGAGAGTTGAAGTCCAGAAGTCTTAAAGTTCCAAAGTTTGGAGACCCCCCTGAACTCCGGACAGAGAATTGAAGTCCTGCTGTCTACCTGAAGAAATTCTAGTTGGGTTTGTGTCAGACTGGTCCCAGTTTTGATCCTCGGAAAGGACAACCCTTGACTTCATTGGTATTAGAGAATACCAGTTTACTAGGGAACTGGGCACAGCACCAGCGAGGAAAATCCGTGCAAAAATCATATATTGAAAGCAATCCCCAGTGTCCAAATCCCTCCCCTCTTTGGGAATAATCCAATCAGGTTCCAGTCCAATGTTTTGGGAACCCGGTGTGTCAGGGGCCATTGTAAATTCCTTTCCCAGGGTGGATGTCCTTGAAGGCAGGAAGATGGCTCGGTCTGGCACCTCTGGTTCCTGTACTCCCCAAATTTCCCACAGCGTTATTTCAAACCTCCAGCACATTTCCCCTCCAAATTGCCCCCTTCCCCCTGGTTAGGGCAGTTGATAGCAAGTTTCAAAGAAAGAGAAGATGGGCAGCTGACAGTTTGGGCAATTGGCAAAAGTAAGACTGGGAGCCAGGTTGGTGCAGTGGTGAGGACACCAGCACTAAAAATCAACACACCCTGAGTTCTAGTCCTGCTTTGCAGAAAAAGCAGCTGCATGATCTTGGGCTGGTCATTCTCTCCCAGCCCTCAGAAGGAGGCAATGGCAATCAGAAAAATGCCAAGAAAACTGCAGGAATTAGTCGTGATGACCGGGAAGCAGCACACGTGTAACAAATTCCCAAACGTAAATAAATTTCCTTGAAATGCCTCCAACTTGGCCTCATTGTTCAATTGTTTGCAGTTGGAGATTAAACTCTTTCCAAAGTAGTCTCCAAAAGAAAGAAATACAGTCCAAACTCAAAGAACAGATAACGGAGAAATAAAAAGCCAAAACAAACAGCACTGAAGGAATTTTCATGACAGACCAGGATAACTAATCACAAACTTCAAGAAGATAACAAGGCACAAGCCATTGGAAGAGCACCAACCAAGATAAACCTCAGCCAGAAATAAAATACTCTTTGCTTCTAGCAACACTGTGTTTTAAACGCCCCTCCTTTATACTATTCCACCCCAGCTGCAGCCAATGAGGGGGATCATGACCGCTTCCTCTCCCATAAGCCACATCTCTCCTTTATCCTCTCCTCCCTGCATGTCCTAGGATGGAGAGGGGATGGGCCCGGGTCCTCCTCTGAATGCCCAGCTGGCCTCTGCCTTTCCCCAGCCTCCTCCACAACCTCCGGAGCCACACTTCCACTCCCTGTTGGCTGTTCCTCCTCTCCCTTAGAATCAGACTCCACCAGGGGTATGACACTAGTCCAGAGAGTCGCCTGGAGTCAAGACTGACTCAAAGGCATCCCTTCCCCCAGAAGAGCGGGGCATTCTTACAGGTGGAGATAGAATATCCAGAGGTACAGCAGCCCCACCGTTGGGACCAGAATTCCCATTGCTAAACAAGGGGGATCATTAAGTCAGTTGCACCTGATTTTATGACCTTATTTGCCATGGTTGTTAAGCAAATCATTTTCTTTCTTTCTTTCTTTCTTTTTAGTTTTAAAATAGACTTTATTTACAAAAGATTAAAACACAAGCAAACATACAAATATGTAAGAATAAAAAGGATATAAATAGAACAATAAATGTATTTCTTTCTATTGCATTTGAAGTTAAGATTGATAGCTCATAGTAAACAGTAGTAAGGAATCATTGTCAAGTATTCCTTATCCCTTATTAATTACCTATTCATTAATAAATAATATATTATTCTGCTATTGCTATTGGATTATAACTGTATTGGTTAATTGAATGGAGCCTTCATAATATTTATATAATAGACAAGAAGCTTAAAATCGTTATTATTATACATTCAATATATACAACTATAGTATGTGTCCTGGGTTCATTTATCCTGTATACCCTTTTTCTTGTGTTTTACCCGGCTGTACCACTTATCCCAAACCAAATAATACTCTGACTCTTCCTTCCCATTTAATTTGAGCATGAGCCTCTCCATTTCAGCGCATTCGTAGCCTTTTTGAATAATAATGTGTATCGGTGGTACATCGGGCATTTTCCAATATTGCGCTAAAGAAATTCGGGCCGCTGTTAACAAGTGGATGATCAGATATCTCACTTTGGGAGGGTATTCCCCTTTAATCATTCCCAGGAGGAACAGTTCCGGTCTCCACTCCAGTCCACATTCAATTATTTCTTCTATCCATATTCTTATCCTTGTCCAATATTTTTTTAATCTCAGGGCATGTCCACCAAACATAGAAATAGGCACCAAGTTTCTCTTTGCATTTCCAACAGCTTGGATTTGCTGTTGGATATATTTTAGCTAATATAGAAGGTGCCAGATGCCATCTATATATCATTTTATATAAATTTTCCTTATATGGTATTGATTTTGTAAATGTAAGATTTTTTTGCCAAATTTCCTCCCAATCGTCGAAATCTATATTATAAACAAAGTTTTTTTGCCTAAGCTAACATTGGTCCTTTCACAATTTCCTCAGCTAATTCATACTCTCGTAAAAAATTATACAATTTGGATATCCTATTTTTCTCCAGGCCCAGGAGTATTTTGTCTAATTATCTTTTGTTTCAAATCCGTGTTCTTTTGCGTCCCTAATATGTCTCCTTTTTATTAGAAAGTAGGACCAGTTGTCAGTAATTATTCCTTGGATTTTTAGCATCTGAATCAATTTAAGTGATCCCTCATTATCTAGTATTTGGTGGTATTTAAGCTTTTTGCTAATGTCCGTCATGTTAGGGTGGAACATCGCCTCCATTGTTGAAAGCTACCTCGGCATCTTAGTATAATGATTTCTTCTAATATCTATCCAGATTTTAATCAAAGATTTATGTAAAGTATGTCTGGAGAAATATGAATGACTTTTATTATTTGGGTTCCACAAAAATGTGTGCCATCCTATTTTCAAATCATGGCCCTCGTGTGTTAAAATTCTTTTGTTTTCCAATTTAATCCAGTCTTTTATCCACACTGGTGCCATCGCTTTGTAGTAGGTCTCCCAGGTCGGGAGACCAAGGCCACTTCTGCTTTTATTGTCTTGTAAATATATTTCTTTTATTCTTGTTTTTTTTCCTGCCCAAATGAATTTCATAACAATTTTGTCCACTTCTTTAAAAAAAAAATTGCCCAATAGTACCGGAAGTGTTTGAAATAAATACAAGATTTTGGGTAGGACGTTCATCTTAATCGTTGCTATTCTACCTAATAGTGAAATTTGCATTTTGTTCCACTTTTCCAAATCCTTTCCAATTTGTTGTAATAATTTGGTATAATTGTCTTCCCTCAGGGATAACGTTCTAAGTCTTAGACAGATGCCTAGATATTTAATCTTATTCACGATTTGTAATCCCATCGTTTCCTCTAGTTCTTTTTGCTTACTGTTTGTTAGGTTTTTAACTAACTTTTTGGTCTTTTACCTATTAATTTTAAATCCTGCCAATTTACCAAATTTGTCTATTTCATTTAATAATACTGGTCCCGAATCTATTGGTTCTTCTATGATAAATACCATGTCATCCACAAATGTAAGCAAATCATTTTCATGCAGTTAAGGGGACCCCACCATCACAAGCACTATAGATGTTACTATGCAATTTCAACAAAACCTAGGTAGCTACAACTTACACTGATTTTTTTTCCTGGTCCTACTTCCTGACACAGCCATAGAAAACAAGTTTTTCACCATCTTCCTAGGGTCCTTTCCCTCTGTATCCTTTTGTCCAGATCAGCATTTCTCAATGCTTTGGCAGCTTGAAGACGCCTGAACTTCAACTCCCAGAAGATATGGTGGCTAGGGTATTTTGGGAGTTGCAGTTCACACAGCGTCAAGGCTGCCAAGATTGAGCCTGAAGATAGAACATAAAATACAGAACATAGAATAACAGAGTTGGAAAGGATCTTGGAGGCCATCTAGTCCAGCCCCTTGCTCGAGCAGGAGAATGTCTATACTTTTTCAGACAAATGGCTCTCCAGTCTCTTCTTGAAAGCCTCCTGTGATAGGGCAGCCACAACTTCTTTTTTTTATACATTTTTATTGATAATTAAGTTTTAAAAACATTTGAATGTGGTGATTTTTTGACATATATCAGCAATCTTTACATTGTTATAGTAGCAGAATGTCATCAAACAATATATCACACACATACACAAACACACATATATATTTACATGTATACATATACATATATATATACATCTTTACATTGTAAATCTTTATATTCGTTTCTATCTTAGACATTTTATTGCGGTATAAACTCTTTCTTGAATTTCTGTTTCATATATTTTTTTACTTCCTTTCATATCCCTCCAATTATAATTTTTTTCCATATTTCATAAAATTCTGAAGTATCTCATTCCTTCAGTTTGAACGTTAAGCTATCTAACTCGGCACAGTGTAGAAGTTTTTTAATTATTACTTCATCACTAGGTATTTCTTTCAGTTTCCATGTTTGGGCAATTGATAATCTTGCAGCTGTGATAACATGAATAATTAGATATAAATCTGCTTTTTTTTAAGATTCTCATTTGTTACATATCTGGTGTACAATTTATTTTTAAGTTTAACATTTCCTCTAACCATTGCTGATTTTTTTGCCAAAAATCTTGCTTTTTCTTGCACTCCCACCACATACGATAGTAGGTGCCCCATTCTTTCGAACATTTCCAGCATACTGGAGATTCATTTTAGCTAATCTAAACTTCTAAAGGCAAGCCACTCCACTGATTAATTGTTCTCACTGTCAGTAAATTTCTCCTTAATTCCAGAAGGAATCTCTCATTGATGGGTTTCCATCTATTATTTCTTGTCCTGCCTTCAAGTGCTTTGGGGAATAATTGGACCCCCTCTTCTTTTTGACAGCAACCCAAAGTTTGGAAGACTGCTATCATTAGACTAGGCTAGTAGCCTAGGGTAGGCTAGAGTAGACTAGACTAGACTAGAATAGAATAAAATATTGGGATGAAGAATAGAACAGAATGCAAAATAGAGTAGACTAGAGTAGATTAGAATAGACTAGAGTAGACTAGAGTAGAATAGAGTAGAATAGAATAGAATAGAATAGAATAGAATAGAATAGAATAATGGGATGAAGAATAGAATGGAAAATAGAATAGAGTAGAGTAGAGTAGAGTAGAGTAGAGTAGAGTAGAGTAGAGTAGAGTAGAATAGAGGGATGAAGAATAGAATGGAAAATAGACTAGACTAGACGACTAGACTAGACTAGAACAGAATATTGGTATGAAGAATAGAATGGAATGTAGAATAGAATAGAATAGAATAGAATATTGGGATGAAGAATAGAATAGAATGCAGAATAGAATAGAGTAGAGTAGACTAGACTAGACTAGACTAGACTAGACTAGACTAGACTAGACTA